GAGATAGGAGTCTCACTGTCTCTCCTGCCCGGGCTGGCTTTGAACCGCGATCCTCAGATCTCAGCCTCCTGAGTAGCTAGGATTACAGGTGTGAGCCACCAGCGCCCGGCTGTTCCGGTTTTTTTCTTTTTGCTTATGTGGTGCTGAGGAATCGAACCCAGGGCCTTAGGCATGCAAGGCAATGCTCTACCACCGAGCCACCTTCCCAATCCTGGGACTCCTATCTCTTAACTACCAAAAAAATAGAAATGGAACTATGGCTCAAGAGGCAGAATTCAAGCTTTGAGCACAAAAGCTCAGGGACGGCACCCAGGCCCTAAGGTCAAGCCCCAGGACTGGCAAAAAAAAAAAGATTGTGCCTGTCTTGAGATTTGAACTCAGAGCCTCTAGTTTCTCAATCATTGGAGCCACACCTCCACTTCCAGCTTTTTTTTTTTGGGTCCGGTCGTGGGCCTGAACTCTGGGCCTGGGCGCTGTCCTTCAGCTCTTCAGCTCAAGGTTAGTGCTCTACCACTTGAGCCACAGCGCCACTTCGGCTTTTTTTTTCCTGCTTATGTGGTGCTGAGGAATCAGATCCAGGGCTTCATGCATGCAAGGCAAGCGCTCTACCACTGAGCCACCTTCCCAGCCCCACTTCCAGCTTTTTGTAGGTTAATTACAGATAAGAATCTTGTGGTTTTTATCTGCCCAGGCTGGCTTTGAACTATAATCCTCAGATTTTAGGATTATAGGTATGAGAGGAAAAAAAAAAACCAGACTCCACGCCGTTCTTCCCTCTCCTGCGTAACCCCTCCCTCCTCTCTGCCCACGTCCTCCGTGTACCTGCTCATGGAGCTCCGAGGTGGGCACCTGCTGAAGGTTCTCGAGGTGGGAGTGGAAGAGGCCGCTGCGGAGGAGGGGCACGCCCAATAGGGCCTCCACGATGTAGCCAATGGTGCAGTCATCTGGAAGCCGGATCCGCTCTGCTGTGCTCAGGAAGTGGCCGCCGCTGTGGGAGGGAGGGAGGGGAGGGCGAAGTGAGCCAGCACTGCACGGTGGAGATGTGGGGAAGGTCTCCTGCCTGCTGTCCCCCACCTTCCCTAGGCCCTCTACCAGAACCCCCAGGGTGGGCAGCCTCACCTGTGTCTGCACTCACCTGGCCCAGGGACTCATCTTCAAAGCCAGCCCTCGGCTGATGCAGAAGCCAGCCCCGCCGGTGGCAAACCAGAAGTGGACAGGACGCTGGGGGGGTGGGAGGGAAGTGTGGTGAGACCCCACCGGATGGGCATCTGATTTGCTCTTTGTTTTGTTTTGGTCATGGGGCTTGAACTCTGGGCCCGGGTGCTGTCCCTCAGCTCTTTAGCTCAAGGTGAGCATTCAGCGCCACTTCCGGTTTCTGGTGTTAACTGGAGATAGAGTCTCACAGACTGGACTGCGTGGGTTGGCTTTGAACCACATTGCTCAGGTCTCAGCCTCCTGAGTAGCTAGGATTACAGGTGTGAGCCAGGCTGCTTTGTTCTTTCTTCTAACTCCCTGTTGCTTCCCTCTCAGCCCAATCTTTTTTTTTGTATCCAAAGACTCTATACAAAGGACCTACCTGTCCTCTCTTGGTCTAATCTTTTTTAATGTATCTAAAGATGGAGTATGGAAGGACTGACGCCCGCCTCATTCGCCAGGGTCAAGCACAGCCCCATGTGCGTGCTTATGTGCTTGTCCACAGGCAGATCACTCCGACCTTAGCTTAGCCGAAAGCCCCCTCACCCCAGTGGAACATTCCACTCTGGGCCTGGCCAAGGTCACTGCCCTTGGCCCCGAGGAGACCACAGTCTATTTTTTATTTTCTGCTTCCTTGTTAAGACCCCTAAAAAACTTCCACATCCAGTCCCTTGCACAACCTCCATACCAGCAGGAAGGTCTGCCCCTTCCAGGCAATGAACAGTCCTCGCCAGTGGACAATCGATTCTGGCCTATCCCTTTCCCCTTCTCACTTCCTGGTGGTGGGGGAGGTGATAGACCTAGGTGAACAGCAGGGGGCGACACTCACCACCTTGTTCTCGCTGACCCTCTCAGTGGCCTGGATGGGCCGGTCCAGGCTGGGCTTGCCGATGTACACGTCCTGGGTGTGCGGGAAGCTGGCCAGTAGCCGCAGCAGGGCCCGCAGGTTCACGTAGTTGTCATCATCCACGTGGCAGAACCATCTGCGGGCAGGGTAGACCATCAGGGAGGGGCTGCCAGGGCTGATGAGGCCAGGGGAAGGAGGAGGAGGCACAGGAGGTTTATGGGGTCCAGGGGAGAAACCTTGGGGCCTACTCACTTCCTCCCCGACTGGATGAAGCGGTCATACTCCACAGCCATCTTGCAGGACAGAGCCTGGCGGCTGTGCGCGGCTGAGCAGTTCGTGTTGACCACGTTGCCTGTGGGCATAGAGCCTGGGGTTCAGGCGGGATCCACAGGGGCCTCCCCTACCCTGGTGCTGGGCTCTGGGTCTGCGGACCCTCCCCCAGCACTGCCCCCCTCCCCCCGGCTGCCCGCCCCTGCCCATTCAGCCAGCTTTTTCCCAGCACCCGCCACCTGTTGCCTCTCGCTGGGCTCAAAGGGCCTGGAGGACTGAAAAGGCCTTATCTACATGAGAATGGGGGAGCCCCCGAGTGGTGGGGCGGGGTGGGGCGTGGAGGAAACGGTCCTCAGAGCCCCCGCAGGGGTGGAGTTTGCTCTGGATAAGGCCCAGCACCCCCCTCCCATCCGAGGCTCACCCGTGTGCCTGGCCAGCTCTTCATCATCCCCATCCGTGAAAATGAATGTCTACAAAGACAAACAAGACCGTGAGCCCTCTGCTCAGTGTCCCCGGGCCGGGCATGGGGTGGGGTCCTAAAGCTTCTGCACCTATGGCTCAGTATGCCTCATCTTTCTTCTCTGCACCCCAATCTCCCCACGTGCAGAGACAGGGGGGTGGGGGGCGGGAAGCGAGAGCGCTCCAGGTGTGAGTGGCAGCTGGGCTGGGGCCACCGCTCCATCATCATCTCAGCAGCTGGGCCAAGGTCACCTGGGCAGCAGCGAGGCACGAGCCAGGTGCACCGTCCCACCTGCCCGCCAGGTAACAGACTTCCCTCGCTGTGCACCTGGCCAGCACACACCCTTATTGACTCAGCTTTCGGCTTGCTGCTTTGGAGGCAGCGGGAGGGGCGGACGAGGTCGGCGTTGGGAAGCAGAGCCTCCAACGCTCAGATCGGGGACAAAGGCCTCTGCTGGGCGGCTGCCAAGTCCGGGCAGACAAAGGGCCCAGAGGGAGGATGAATCACCAGGCATTGTCCGCCAGCTTTGTCCTGGGCCAGGGCAGCCTTAACTCGGCCGAGTTAAGCAGGAGTGGCCGGCCAGTTATTACCATACAGCTGGCCTGGTTAACTGGGCTGGGCTGGACACGAGGTCTCTGGCAGGGGCGTGGCCACAGGCCAGGCAACAATCCTACCCCCCCCAGCCCCCCCAGGCGTGAATGGCCCTGGCAGGTTCTTCAATTGTGCTGGCCAGGGGAGGGGTGGCAGGAAATGGCTCCTGTCCCCAGCCCCCAAGGGGCAGCCCTCCCGCTCACGAAGGCCGTGCCCGGAGACATTGTCAGGCCCCACTAGTGCCGGCACAAGGCAATCCCGGGCCAGGATTGCTCTGCGGTAGAGAAGGGGGCCGCCGGGGCGGGGCCAGGAGCTGCCGGCGCCCGCCTGGGCCGGTCCACACACGGACAGGAATGTTCCTATTTCTTCCTGGGCTGGCCCGCCCAGCGCGTGCCGCCTGCCGCACCCACAGAGTGCAAGCCTGGGGCGGATGGGGGATGCTCAGAGGAAAGACAGCAGGGCACCCCCCCACACACACACACCGACCAGGCCTTGATTTCCTTCCATGAATAAACAGTTCCAAGGGTGGCTTCAGCACCAGGGAAAACCCCCATTGGGCAGCTCAGGCTCCTGGCAGGACCACAGGACCGGAAAAGGGCCAGAGGAGGGGCAGGTGTGAGCCAGACTGGCACCCCTCCTTCCAGAGCCCAAGAGACACCCATGGCGGCCCACACGTACAGACTCGCACCCAGCCCCCCGCCCGCACCCCAGCATCTTAGCCCAGGAATGCCGTGGGAGGTGGAGAGGGCCAGCCCGTGCAGACGCTCCGCAGTGGCGCGGGATTAAAGGAAAATGCTTTCTTAGTGAGCTCAAGCCTGTTCTCCCGAAAACCCCAGCCCAAGGCTACACCGATTAAAGTCACCTTTGTTCAGCTAGGGAGCAGGGGGGCCCCCAGGATAGCTCTGGAGGTGCGGGACTTGAGGGTGTGGGGGTGCCAGGCCTTCTGGGTCCCCAACATAGGGCAGCCTGGAGAAGGGGGTGTGTAGGGCATGCACCAGACTCAGTTTCCTCTGTAAAAATAAGTGCGACGTTGCCGGGCTGTGCAGAGCCAGGCGCCAGGCACAGACTGTGTCCCTTCCTCTCGGGAAGGGCCTGGGTGGTGTGCACCACTCAAGCTGGGGACCTAGATTGGAGTTGCAGGCACCGGCCTCTGGCCATGCCCCAGACCAGGGACCCACCCCCATCGGCACCTCCCCCAACTTCCCTAAAGGAGGAAGATCACGGCAGTGAGGGCCACAGGGCTGAACGAGAGCAGGAGGCCGCGGGGGGGGGGGCACCCACAGGAAGCAGTATTGTTCCTGGAACTGCGATTCAAAGAAACACAGGATGCCAAGTTCTGCCCCATCCATTGTGGCCCTGGCGGTGGCAGCCTGCAGCCTGGCGCACTCTGGGAAGGTGGGGGGGGTGGCAGTGGGTGGGACAAGGGCTCTCCGTACCCTGCTTTTCCTGACCCCAAGCTGATGCTATCTGGATGCCCCATACCATTCTGGGTACCTCCTCCCGAACTTTCCCCTCCCAACAGGCAATGCCCTCTTGGCTTACACAGCCATTCTGCCTGAGCCTGCACAGACTGAAGGGGTGGCAGCCCTTTGCTGTGACTTCCAAAGACACCCCCTCCACCCACAACATGCCATGCGTGGTGGTGGTGGTGGATTCTGCTTGCTGTGTGCATTAGCTGAGACAGGGCTCACCCAGTAGAGTGGCAGACCCCAACGCAGAGCACCTCCCAGGCTCCCCAAGTCTGCAGGTTCTGCAACCATCTCGTGAAGACACAGGATCAGGAAGACCCTAGGTCTGGCCCCATTTTGCCCAGCCCAGTGGAGACTCGTACCCGCCTCCCTTGACCCCACCCCTCTGCTTGAGAAAGCCCCCAGATTCTAAGACAACGGGTGGTCAGAGCTGGTGGCAGCCCAGAGAGGGACTAGAGGCTGCCCAAGGTCACACAGCAGGAGACCAAATGCTGGAGGCGGGGTGCTTCTGGCTCAGGGATGGTGCCCCACAAGGGCTGTCAGTCAGGGCCGGGGGGGGGGGCAGAGGCCCCCTCATCACCAGGCAACCTGAGTGGCCAGTGCGCCAGCAGCGGTTCCCATGGAGCGCATAGCTGCACACAAGAGGCCCGACGCCTTTCTGGGCTGGAGAAAGACGCTTTGTTACCTTGCCCAAGGGGCCAGCGTGAGAGCCGTCCTAACGGCCCGGCCGCCAAACAAAACCCATGGCCCCCACTGCCCCTCCTGCCGGCCTGCTGAGCCCCTGGGAAAGGGATGCTTCATTCCCAGGAGGCTGCCCTGGGGTTCCCAGGGCCCCTCCCCAGCCAGGACCAGATAAGACCCTGCCCACGCTGTGGCCTCGGTCAGGAGCTCACCAAGACTGCCCCCAAACAGGGCTAAGCTAAACCAAAAATGCCCTGGATCTGTAGGGAATAGGGAAGTAGGGTCTTCTTTGAGATTCCCCCCCCCAACTTCAAATACCCCAGGCCTCTGGGTCTGTTCCCTTACTCCCCCTGGCGGGCTCACACTCTGCCTTCTTCCCGCCCCAACTGTCCTCGCGTAGCCTCAAGGGAAAATTCAAAGTGGTGTGTATCTTGATTATGTGTGTGAAAGACACTGGTTCTCAGAGTGGAAGGCTCCAGGCCTAAAGGACTGTACAGTGGGGAGACCCTCTCCCCACAGGCCCAGAAACCTAGGACATGCTGTGTGTTTGCTTGTTTCTCCCTCTCCCTCCCCCTCTTGGTCTTTCTCTCTTCCTTCCTTCCCTCTCTCCAGGACTCACCAGCCAGCATCAACTTGACACCATACAGTAATGAACAGGGATAGAGGGTGCAGTGCCCCTGGCTTCCCTTCACCCTCAAGGAGCCCAGGGACTGTTTGAACCAGGAACTGTTTGAAGCCCAATCTGCTTGCAGAGGCTTGAGGAGAAGTAACACCCTTCTTTGCTCCAACATTTGGAGAACTAACATCAGCTGTAGGGTGGATGCAGACCATTCAGCTTTCTTGCCAATTCTGGAGCTTGAACTCAGGGCCTGGGTGCTGTCCTTAGGCTGTGTGTGTGTGTGTGTGTGTGTGTGTGCGTGTGTGTGCGCGCGCGCTCAAGGCTAGCCCTCTACCCCTTGAGCCCCAGCTCCACTTCTGGGGTTCTGGAAGTTCATTAAAGGACTTCCTGTCCAGGTTGGTTTCGAACTGCGATCCTCAGATCTCAGCCTCCTGAGTAGCTAAGAGTACAAGCTGGCACCCGCCCGTGCGGTGGCAATGGTGTCCAGCGTTCCCCCGCTCACCCTCCTCCCTGCAGGCTATAAGGTATAAAGGAAAGAGGCCGCGGCAGGCACCCTGGGCTGAAGGAGAGGAACGGGCGTCTCCGCCCCCCAGCCAGCCCCGTGGCTGGACAGGGATGCAGCCTGGCCATCACCATCCCCGCGGCCAGCTGGACCGGTGCGCGCCCGGCCCCCCGGCCCGCCCCGCCCGGGGACGCGGGGGGCTCACCATCTCCTTGTGGCGCGAGATCCAGGTCTCCAGCAGCAGATCGAGGCGCGCGCGGTGAAACTTTCGGGTGGTCTTGACCGCGATGAAGACGTCTCGGGGCGTCAGCGGCTCGGCCGGGGGCCGCGGCTGTCCGTCGGCGGCTCGGGGCGCGCCCCCGGGCTGTGGACCCACG